GAATGAGCCACCTCCATGCCGGTGCCACCCCTTGGTGACCCCGTGGGGCCCATTGTGGAGGAGGGGGCGTGTGAGACTGTGAGAGACGGTCACGGGTCACCAGGGGCCCGGTGTTGGAGGAGGTCACGGAGAGGACGTGACCGCCGGTGGACCCCGGAGCCGGCCCTCGCCCCCCCTGCCCCTGGATGTGCGCCGTGACCCTCATGCCCACAGCGGGAGCCCTGCGGAGGCCTCTATATAAACTTTACGATTCTGGCGGGCAGGCGTGGGGGTCCCCTCGGCCTGCAGCGCCCAAGACCAGCCTCGGAAGTGCCATTGCTCACCACATACCTGCTGCCCACCACCCACCAGCTGGGAGCCCCTGCCTCTTTCTTCGGGGTCCCCCTGCCCTCCGTGTCCGGGGGCCAGCTAGCCACTCATCACGGGGAGGCGTGAAGAACAGGGGACCCGGAGGGAACAAGTTGGCGGGAAAGAAAGAGCCGGGTGTCGGGGCGCCGTGGACCACGGGTGGGTGCCACGGAGAGGACACTCTGCACGGTGACCAGCTCCCATCTCTGTCCCGGGACCGGTCGCTGTGCTGTTGGGCAGGCGGGGCCTGGGACACTTTAGATGGGTGGGTCCTGAGGTCCCCAGGATGGTGGCAGAGGGCGTGAGGAAGAGGAGGGTGCAGGCCCTGGTGGGGGGGGGCACCCCATGGGCCCGTAAGTCGGGGAGTGGCAGAGAGACGACGTGTGCGTGTTAGGTGATAAATAGCATCGGTTGGCGCACCAGCTCCCAGGCCGCCACACGAAAGTCCCCCTTCTTCCCCCCGGGGCCTGAACCCCAGGGACTGGTCCTCGGTGCTGGAGGCCAGAGGCCCCAGGCCAAGGTGTCTGCAGGGCCCCGCCCCCTCTGAAACCTGTAGGGAAACCGTCCTGTGCCTCACATGGCCGTGTCTCCCTCTGTCTATCCTTCCAAGGACACCGGTCGTGTTGGGCAAGACCCCCACCCCACTCTCATCTGGACCTGCTCTACCTGCAAAGCCGCTGTCTGCAGATGAGGCCCCGTCCGCGGGATGGGTTAGGACCCAAACATACCTGCCTGGGGGACGCGATTCTGCTGAAGCAGAAGGGCCACATGTATGCGAGCAGCGACCAGGCTCCGATGGAATGCTGCTCTCCACACGTGTGCGCACGCCGGGAGTTGTGCAGGGGAAGGCGGCTCCCGGCCGGGTCCCCCGGGGGGTGCGAGACTTCTTTCCGGGGACTCGGGACACAGAGTGGCCACGTGGGGCCTTCACAACAGAGCGCCTCGCGCAGCGCAAGGCGTGAGATGAAGCCACAGTTTATTCTCTTCCCACGGAGGACAGGCAGGTGTGGATGCTTATCTTATCTTCCAGATGTTGTGGTTTCTCATTTTATGAAATCAGGGGCCCCAGCTGTGGTATCCGCCTTGGACGGAAGCAGCCGTCAGGGGAGCGAGGGGCCAGGCCACACGGGAGCCCCAAGGGTGGGAGCTCAGAGCTGGACTGTTGCAGGCCAATGTGTAGCCCAGAGAATATTCCTGTTTGCAGGGCCCGTGGGCCGAGCTCATCTTCTGAGACCTGCACTCTGGGTGAGACCCCCTACTTCCTCAAAGGGCCCAGGGCTGCACCCGAGGCTGGGGAGGGCTGGGAGGCTGTCATGGCCCCTAGGGACCCGTCTAAGAGCTATGAGATGGTGCACTGCAGAGACGGCCCTTAATCTGGCTTCGGCAGGTCACGGAGGACGTAGGGGCCACTTCAACAGAGGAAACCCTTTCCCAGCAGAGGGGGCTATGGCCTTGGGGATGGAGAGGGCAGGTTTACAAACGTTGTGACTTTTTAAAAATAATGTTTAAGTTTGCTTATTTATTTATTTACTTATTTTTTTAATGTTTATTTTTGAGAGAGAGAGAGAACATGAGCAGGGGAGGGGCAGAGAGAGAGGGAGACACAGAATCCAAAGCAGGCTCCAGGCTCCGAGCTGTCAGCAGAAAGCCCAATGCAGGGCCCGAACTCACAAGCTGTGAGGTCATGACCTGAGCTGAAGTCAGATGCTCAACCGACTGAGCCCCCCAGGTGTCCCTAAGTTTGTTTACCTATTTTCAGAGAGAGGGAAAGAGAGTGCAAGCAGGGGAGGGGCAGAGAAGGCGAGAGAGAATCCCAAGCCGGCTCTGCACTGACAGCGTGACAGCCCGACTGGGGCCTCGAACTCACGAACCGTGAGATCATGACCTGGGCCAAAATCAAGAGTCACACGCCTAACCGACTGAGCCCCCCAGGCACCCCGAGACATTGTGGCTTTAAGGCCAAACAGCAGGACTTGGAGAATTGGAAAGGGAGAGTTCTCCTGCGGTTTCTAAAGGCTGAGTCATTTTCATGGTGCCTTCGTCACATCCTATCTCGACCAGAACGGGGTTTCGCTGCCTCCGCTGAGCCGCCCACCTTGCTGGGCCCAGGTGTCCCGAGGCCTCTCTCCACACTTGGCAGGGGCTGCAGCCACCGTGGGACTCGTGAGAAGGCCTGGCTCTGACACGCTTCCCCTCGGGCTAGCTGGAGTGGGAGGCGCCGGGGGCAGCAGGCCAGCTTGGGGGCCGGGAGATTGTGGAACGCACGTTGTCGGGGACTGGCCGGCGCAGCAGGTGAGGGGGACGCACCCGGCCTTGTTTGTAAGAAATGCAAGGGCTACGCCCGTGGAAAGCGTGTCCAGCAACAAATTCTGCATCTTCCAGACTTGGCTTCCCCCCGGGAGCCTTTGCCTGCTCAGTGCCCGCGCGCTGCTGAGCTGCCTTCTGCGAGGGGCCCTCCGAGTCCCCAGGGTCCGCGTGCCCCAGGGTGGCCAGGGGCCCCGGGGGAAGGTGCCGGGCGGCCTCGCCACGGCGTCTGGTTTCCTGTGCTGCCAGAAGAAACCCACAGGCCGGGCGGCTAAAACAACAGACCGTTCTTCTCTCATTCTCCTTCGGAGGCCAGAAATCTGAAATCCTGCTGGGGACGCTGCGGGGCGACTGTCCAGGCCTCTCTCTTCCTCCCTTCCAGGGCCTGCGGGACCCCTCGGGCCTTCCTTCACCTGCAGGCGCGTGGCCCCGGTCTCTGCCTCCTTGAGGCCATATGGCCTTTTCCTTGCGTGTCTGTGCGTCCCAACTCTCCCTCTGTTCTCCATAAGGACACCTGTCTGAGGGTTTAGGGCCACCGTAAGTCCAGGGTGATTTCATCCTGACGTCTTCAATCACATCCACAAAGACCCTTTATCCAGATCCAGTCACATGTGCAGGGACCGGGGGATAGGACGGGGCTCTAGCTTTCTGGAGACACAGTTCAGCTCACGATACCTCCGTAGCAGGCACCTGGTGCTTTGCGTGAATGGGCAGGTTTTTGCTGATCTCAGACACCCTGGCGACCCCTTTCCGGATGCTGTGTCCCACCCCGGGGACGGGAGAAGAGCGCGCCTGTGGTGCGGTGCGGGTCAGGCCCGTCCACCAAACAGCAGCAGGACCCAAGCTCAGCAGGAGCCAAGGCCGCGGGAAGAACAGGAAGTGCGTGTCCAGGGCCACGCACAAGGCACAGGGCCGGTCCAGGCGAACATAGCTGGTCGGCAGAGGGGCCCCGACCCAAGCGTCTGCCCCACAATCTCCCCGTCCCATCCACCACGCCTGAGTGGACTGCTTCTTTGGTTTTGTTTCTCTCTTGGGGCAAAAGAGGAGGTTTAGAAGCGAACTTCAGAACCGGCTGCCCAACGATTCCCATTGAATGGACAAAATATTTAGCATAGGGTCTCTCTGTTTGCTGATCTGCAGTACCCCCCCTGCCCCAGCCCCGTCTCTGGCTCCAACTAGCGATGGTGCTGACTCCCCGTGTCCCCTCCCAGTGCGAGTGCCCTCTGCCTCCAGGCTGGGCAGAGGGGACAGGCTGAGGTGTGGGGGTTCCCGAAGGCAGTGAAGTCGCCCTGCTGTGGACCAGCCGTGCCCCTCCCACGTCCACATGTTGAGGGCCTGACTCCCGGTGTGCCTGCAGACGGAACAGGGCCCTTCAGGAGGCAGTTGAGGTAAACCGGGTCATAAGGGTAGGGTCCTGATCCTATAGGGCGGCTGCCTTCGAAGAAGAGGAAGGGACAACAGAGCCTTCTCTCCCGGCTGCCCCCTCTCCGCCGTGTGAGAACGTAGGGAGAAGGCAGCGTCTGCGAGCCAGGAGGGTGCGCACCTGGAACCAGTGGCCGGCACCTTGACCTTGGACTTCCAGTCTCCAGAACTGGGGGAAAATGTCCGTTGTTCAGCCTGGTGGGTCCGTGGTCCTGTCCCTGCAGCTGCATAGACTGGGACACCCCAGATTTGTGGGGCCTCTGCCTACTCCATGCACATTAGAGCTTTTCTTAGATTCACAGCCAGCAGAGTAGGGGTTTGCGAAAAGGTCCCCAGAGCCAGACCGCTACACTCAGTTCTCAGATCTGTAGTTTGCAGCTGGGCGACTTTGGGGTGCTGCTTCCCACTCTGACCTCAGTTTCCCCATGTGCCGCCTCAGCCCCCAGACAGCTCTTACCCTCCAGGTGGTGTGGGGGGCTCGGATAGTTGGGGGGCCCTGCTGCATCTCCATTGCTTCCGGACAGCTGGGGGGTCCCTGCCGCCCAAGCCCCTCCCAGCCAGGAGTTCCTGCGCTTGTACGAGGGTGAGGGAGGGCCCAGTCACCCGCCCACGTGAGGCGGTGGAGGATGAAAGCCCCAGGAAAGAGGCTTGCCAGCTTCGGAAGTGAGCCTGACCACCTGGGTTTCTGCAGCTGGGCCCAGCACACAGCAGGTGCCTAATGTGTGCCTAACGGGTGCCTAACTCCTGGCCGCTCTTCTTCTACCTAGACTGCACCTTCCCCTACTCTTCAAAAACTTCCTAAGGGGGTTTCCACCCCAGGGACCCCATGAGCCCCTGGGCCCAGGAACACCCAGCCCTCACCCCAGGAGTAAGTGAATTCCAAACCCAACCCAGGTTCATTTGTTTAAGTTCTCTCTACACCCAACATGGGGCTTGCGCTCAAGACCCCACGTCATCACACGCTCTGCAGGCTAAGCCAGGCAGCCGCCCCAAACCGGGTTAAAACCGAGAGAAGTGAGTCCTCCAGAGGGCGACTCCTGCCCCAGGGTCTGTGGGAGGCGGGGCACGCCCACCTCAGGCCACTGGCGAGAACACCCTGCACAGAATAAGGATAAAAATGCTCAGGGGGTGGTCGGTGACCAACGACGTGGGTGCCCAAAGGGGAGTACCCACGGCCCCTGCCTGGCACGAGAGGGGAGCGGGCACCCGGGGACAACGGACAGGGCGTCCGCAGAGCCTTAAGAGGGCCGGAGGGCTGAGGGCTGCCCCGAAAGATGGGCGCCGGGCCCGAGGTCCGCCGGAGGTGGCCACTCGGCCGCAGGGCATCCAGAACTTGCAGCCTCGGAGGAGCGCGCGAAGCTCGCGGCGAGGGCCCGCGGAGGGCCGGGGGCGGGGCCGGGGGCGGGACGGCGTGGTGGGCGGGGTCTGGGCGGGGGTCCGGGCCGGGGGCGGGGCAAAGGCGGGCCGGCCTCCGGCGACCGGGCTGTGCGCGCAGAGTCGCGCGGAGCGGGCGCGGGCCGGGCGGGAAGCCGGACCCTGCGCACCTGCGGCTGCGCCCTGCGCGTCCCCGGGCCATGGCGCACGCGGAGGCGGCGGCTCCCGGGGTCCGCCGGGACGTCCAGTGAGCTGCGGGCCGGAGGGGGGACGCGGCGCGGGGCGCTGGGCACGATGCCTGTCCTTCCGGAGGCGAGGGCGGCGGGGCGCGCGGTGGCCCTGGCCCTGGTGCTGCTGCTTCCCGCGGGTCCCGCGGGCGCCCTGCCCCGCCTGCAGCCTGGCATGTGAGTAGCGCGGACCCGGGCTCCCCGGGGCCCCTGACAAAGTTGGGCTCTCTGCCGCCCCTGGGGAGGAATGGTTAAGAGACGGGGGTGGGGGTGTGTGGGGGCGTCGGGGCTTGGGTCAGGGGGCGCTTCCGTGGCAGGGCCACCTCCTCCCCCCCCTTGCCCTGTCGGGCTCCCTCCGCTCTGGAATGTGCGACCGACCGCGCGCCTTGGCAGATGCCGCCCCCAGTCGGGGTCCTCGCGGGCAGGGTCCTCGCGGGCAGGGTCTGGCTAGCGAGCAGGCAGGAAGCAGCCCCTTCTCACTTCCTTCCAAAGCTGCCTCCGGGACTTGGGGGGGGGGGCGCTGTGCAGGGGCGGGGAGCGCCCGGCGGGGTGGGGGTGGGGGGCCTGGACGTGGTTTATGTGTTAAACACGTGCGTGCTGGGGCTGAGAGACAGGAGAAGGAATTCAGCACCAGAATGGGCAGGAAGAGAGGGTCAGGGAGCCAGCGGAGATGAATTCAGTTTTGAAAGATGATTCCCCAGGGGGCCGGTTAGCGGTCTCTCTTAACCGGCAGATCGATCCTGTGTTGGCCTCACAGGAGAGCTGGTGCCAAAGTGAGCCAGAGAGGAGGGGGAGGAGGGGAGGCGCCTGCTGGCGGCCCCCAGCCCAGGCTCCTGCAGCGAGCTGGGCCCAGGCGGGGCCTGTCCAGTGCTGCAAAGGGGCAGGCGAGTGGCCAGGCTTAGGGCCCCTGCCCAGCACTCACCCAGAGGGCCCAGTGCACCTGGCCGTGCAGGACAGTCACTTCCAGGCAGAGCTGGGAGGAGGGCAAGTCTGTGCCCCAGGACCCCACCCCCTAGCCTGCGTCTTGCTTTGAAGCTTTCCTTGTGGCCTTTTAAAGGAAAAGGGGGCCTTTGCATCCAGAAACGTGAGTGGCTGAGTCCCGGCTCTGCATGACTTCGGCTGGACATTTTGCTCTCGTGTGATCCCAGTGAGTTCGTTTGTGCAAGGGAAGCTGCAGCCTCAGAAGGGATTAGCACAGCGGCATAGGCCTGCCTGCGTGTTGCATGGTGGGCCGGGGCTTCCAGAGGCCCAGGCTCCTGGCAGTTCCAGGGTGCTGGTCGGGTGGGTGGCTGCGCAGCCATGAGGATAGAGGGTTCCTCCTGAAGGGGGTTTGGCTCCAATGTGCTTGTGGAGACGGCTTGTCAGCACTCCTGGGCCCCTTACCCTGACCCCCTGAGGAGCAGAGCCAAAGGCCTGTTTCCCGAGGTTGGGTTGGCCTGTCGCTAGGGCTCCGGGAAGCCTTTGGCCGATCTGGGGCAAGCAGTTCAAACCAGCAGCTAGTGGATTGCAGGGGACCTTCTCTTCCTGCTTCCTGTTTTCCCCAAAGCCCCCTCTGCCCTCTCTCCTCCTCCCCTTCCTCCTCCTCAGGGAGCCTCTCACGTGTCGGGGTGGCTGCCCCTCTGGGGGCCTGTGTCCCTGTGTCTTGGCCGGGGCTTCTATTCTCAGGTGGCCCCAGGCATGCTGAATTCTGACACCTTCCACGGCCCCGTTGTCTCTGATAGTCTCTGAAGCACCCAGTACATGCCCCCGCACGCGGTAGGGTGGCATTGAATGCCGCTGGCCCGCCGCACAGGGGGCAGAGGGCATCCTTCTGCTGGACCCCGGAGCTCTGGAAGCCGGTGGGCTCCAGGAAGGGCCAGAATTTGCTCTCTGCTCCTTGTACCCCAGAGGAGCAGGGGAGGAGCCGAGACAACAGCCAGGGTCCCTGAAGGTGCTTTGTCCTCTCTGGTCCTGTGTCCCCCCGCCCCCTACCCCGGGGGAGATCGGATGAGCCCGCGGGGCTGGCACAGGCCTCCCCACCCTCCAGGACTGGTTTTCCTGGTGGGCCTCTGGGGGACACAAAGAGAAGAGGGGTTCCGTGGAGTAGGGGTCCCACTGACCCATGGCCCAAGAGTGGCCTTTGTGGATGCGTGGGAGCCTGCGGCAGGTAGTTGGGCTCCCACTGGCTGACCGTGTCCTGATTGAAAACCCTACAACACATCTTTATTTATTTCTGCCTCTAAAGTGCATTTCTGCTGGAAGAATGGTTGGCTTATCTTCCTGGGGCCTGGAGTGACTGCTCACCACACACAGGGCTGGCCCAAGGCTGCTGGCAGGGCCTGGGGACGGGGGCACGGTGTCCCCCAACTCTGGAGCTCCAGCCGCCTGAGGTTGGAGGCTGCGGGCTTCCAAGTTCAAGAGTTTCACCCAGTCTGGGGCGACGTGTGTTCAGAGGCGCACCACGGGGTTCCAGAGGGGAGCCTGTAAAAACAGACCTGTCGGAGACACTCCCTGGGAGCCTGGATGAGGGTGTGCTCACAGCCGGCCTTCTCCAGCTTTGCGATGCTGGCTGCCTCCTTCCCCGCCCTGCTTTTCCCTCCTCACTTCGCCCCCCCCCCCCGGCCTTCATCCTGGGGCCTGCTGCGTGTGCCCACCGTCACCTCGGCTCGGGGCCAAGGCCGCCAGCCTCCAGCAGCCCCTCTCTGCCCGGAAGCAGATGTCCCACGGAGCTGTGTTCGCTTTGTAGTCTGGGAATTGCCTTCCCTCCCCAGATGGGAACCGGGAGCCAAGTGCAAGGACAGCCCTGTGACTGCCCTGCACTTGGGGTGACACTTCATCTGGATGTCTGTTCCCTCCCCCATCCCACCTCCTCTGCCCCGAAGATGGAAATGTTGGCCCAAGTTGTGGTTCTGGAGGGCCGGGAACTCCCCCGAGGAGATCAGTGCAGCGCTCACCTCCCCCCCCCAACACCCCCATCCGCGCGAGGCCAGCGGGGAGCCAGCGGGGCAGAGCTTTGGGGGCTGTGGACAGAGCAGCAGAGCCAGAGGGGGAGCCCTGGCCCACTGGCCTCGGGGAGAAGTCACGTCACGCAGGTGACGGGATGGGAGAGTGGCTGGCGGGAGTGGCCCACAGGGTTGTGTGACCCTGAGCGTGTTCAGAGGAGAGGACAGCCCCCCCCCCCCCCAAGAGGCTGTGGCATCTGGCTGGCCTGGCAAACTTTGTGCCTTCTCTCCTGAAATTTGCCTTGTGTGGGTCCGGGTGGGGGGTGGGGCGGCCTGGGGCAGCTGCCCCTCCCCCCACTTCCCAGAGCCTCCGGGGCCCCTGCTGCATCTTCCCAACAACCACCCCCTTCCCCTGTGCGGCATGCTCCTGTCCGTGTGTTCACCTGTGGCGCAGGGGTCAAGGGCGCTAAGGAGCCACTGACACCCTAGGGCTCCGCCGTGCACCCCCTCCACGCTCCCCGGAGGCGCCCCAACATTCCCCACTGTGCTTGTCCCGCCTGGAGCGAACTCCCACCCACCCAGCCGTGTGCCCAGCGGGGGCAGCTCAGGGGACATCTCTGAGGCCAGGATGGCTGGGGGAGCGGGGGCCTAGGAAGGGGAGTCACACAGACCGGACGCAGGGTCCGGGCCACTGTTCCCGCTGACCCCAGGCCCCTGGTGTCTTGGCAAAGTTAGAACAGCACTGTGGGTAGTGTGGGGCCCCTGCAGGGAGATGCACGGTGTGGCCCTGTGGCCGTCCCCTCGTCCTCCGCCCACAGCTTGAGCCTGGGGCTACCGCAGGCCTGGGAGGGGCGTGCCCCCCCGCCGCGACCCCCCCCCCCCGGTGGCTCCATGCCCCTGACTGGGGACTGGGGCCCGCTGACCACCTGTCCTCTGTCCCAGGCCGCACGTGTGTGCCGAGCAGGGGCTGACCCTGGTGGGCCGAAGCCAGCCCTGCGTGCAGGCGTTCAGCCGGACTGTGCCCGTGTGGAAGCCGGGCTGCGGGCGGCAGGCGTGGTGTGTCAGCCACGAGCGGAGGTATGTGCTGGGGCCCCGGTCCAGTGTGGGGTGTGGGGCCCCTGTCCGGGTCCCAGGGCCGCCCACACCCCTTCCCGCAGCCCTGCGCCTGGTGCCGAAGCTTTCCCGTCCCCCAAGGGCTGCTCCCACACTGAGCACTGCTGCCCAGGGGGCCCTGCAGGGAGGAGGGACTCTGTGGGAGGGGCCCTGAGGAACATGGGGATCCCACGGCCCAGGCGGGACGCTGGGGGCGGGGGCGGCCACAGGAGAAGGGAAAAGCGGGGTGCCTGGCCTGCCGAGCGCCCTGTGGGACCTGCTACGCCCGAGCCCCTGGGCCTTATTCCCGGGGGAGTCAGCGCCAGACCTTTTCTTGCCCAAGATTTTATTTCAAAATCAAATTAAGGAGTGCCCTTGCATACCTCTCCTGTCTCTGGAATCTGCCCCACTGCTGAGCTGGGCGGTGGGGGGGCTCAGCGCGGGCAGTGCCCCCGTTAGGCGGGGAAGGTGGGAGCGGCCCGCACGTGGGGTGTGGTGTCCAGCTTCACAGCGCAGCCTTTGAGGGCCGCCTGCGTGGCTCCACTTGTGTGGGGCGCCAGCTCCCCCCGCCGCCCTTGGCGGTGTCTGGGGGCAGCGTCTGCTGGGCCAGGTGTGCTGAAGACGGGTGCCTTCGCCAGGTGGTGGAGGCGGGCCCGCTACCCATACCGTGGGGCACGGGGTGGCCCCTCAGGCCCATAGGGTCCTGCCCCGAGGTCGGGGAGCTGACGCTGGGAACCCGGGGCCGAAGGAGCACGTCTGCCCCCCCCCCCCCCGCTGCCCCCGGAGGTGTGCTCTGTGCGGGCCTCCGGGCCTTGTCACGTGTGGGGCCACACATCGGTCACAGATTGGGAACGAGGTTGCGTCAGCCGTGTCCCCACAACGATGTGTGGGGAGGGGTGCTGTTGCTGGAAGCTGCCAGGGGCCCTGAGGTCCCGAGGCTGGAGCGCTGTGGGGTGTGTGCATTGAGGGAGCCCCCAGGACGGGCTGTTCCCCCATTTCCCTGTCGCTGGTCCCCAGGCTGGCCTGGGTGGGGATGGGAAGCAGCCTTTTCAAAGCATCTGGGCACCTTCAGCCTCCTGGCGAGGTGTCTCCTGGGAGGAAAGTCTTCGAGGGCCTTGCTGCCTGGCCGTGTGGGGCGGGGGCAGGGGGGCTCTGCCGTGTTTCCTGCTGGGCTGGGGGGGTGGCCTGTGTTCTGTGTGCGGGTCTCCGGGGAAGGCTCAGGAGGGGCCGCATGCAGATCGGGTTCTGGGCACCCTCTCCTGGCCCAGCTTGAGGTGACCGGGATCAGCGGGGGCAGTTTGGGTCCCTGGCCTGTGGGGGGCGGGGGTGCCTGGCCTGGAGTGCAGCCATGTGAGCTGGTTCCCCCACAGCCCTCCGCCCCGCGTGGCCGAGAGCTGTCTCCCCACCACCATGTCCCGTAGGGCTTCTGTGACCTGTGCTAACTGCCTCCCTTCCGTGGGGCCCCGCTGCATTGTAGTGGGCGTGCGCCCCCCCCCCACGGTGCCACAGCTGTGCCCACGCGCCGCGCGCGGATGTTCCTCCGTTGGCCGTTGAGGCTGTGGCCTTCGTCCTTCAGGAGTGCACAGAGGCCCCGCTCCCCCGGGCGGCCCGCCCTGCCCCCTGGCCCCTCCTCCCATCTGCTCTCCTGGCGCATCAGGAGGGTCTCCCTGACAAACCACCGGGCAGTGCACAGGCTGTGCACGGAGGCCCCCTGTCCTTTGGGGGTGTGGCCCATGCAAAGGGAGGAGGGAGGGAAAGGATGCTTGGAGGACCCGGGGCCCTCACGCAACCTGTCCCTCCCGGCCCCCTCCCCGCCGCGGGGCTCCCTGGCCTGTGGCCCAGGCTCCCAAGGACCTGCAGGAGTGGACGTAGGGGCAGTAGCCCCCCAGCTGTGTCGCAGGGTCTCCGCCTTCCAAGGGCAGGGGCGGGGGGGATGGGGCAGATGGGCCGGTGGGCTCCGTTCTCCGGGCGACTGCGAGCAGCAGCACGTAGCCCCGGGAGAGGGATAAATATTTACGAAGGAAGGGCTCGACGTTGTTTGCTCTGCCAAATCCCGTCCAGCGCTGCGGTCGGCGTCTCCCCAGGCAGTGGTTTCATGTCCTGCCAAAGCGGGGTTTGCAGAGCCCCCCCGGGCTGCTGTCCGCAGCGCGCCTGAGCTCACGCTTCCGGGAAGTGGCCTGGGTTGTTTGTGGGGTCCTGATCCCCAGGGTGGCCATGGGTTTCCCACGGCTCCTGGCGGCCGAGCCCCAGCAGGCAGGAGGGTGTTTCCTCACCTGGAAACGGCAGTCCAGGCCCTCGGGCTGCTCCCGGGGCTCAAGGGTCCGTGACCCCATAGCTGTAGGCCGGGCCCGGTCACCACTCCTACAGACAGCGGTGGGGCAGGGTGGCTTCGGGTCACCCCTTTCCTTTTGTTCTGTTACTACATTCTCAGTTCCTCTTCCCTGGCCTTTCTGCGCGCCCCCACACTTGTGACCAGTCCCGTCCTGTGCCCCCAACGCCTGTGACCTGTCCCGCCCCCCCACTTTTGTGACCAGTCCTGTCTTGAGCCCCCCTCACCACAGCCTGTGACCAGTCCCGTCATGGCCAGGGACCCGAGGGCAGGGGCTGAGCACTGAGTCCTGGTTAGCTTCCGGTTGCCACTGTAATCAGTTGTGCTGAGCCGGGCGGGGGCGGGGGGGAGGAGGGGGCTTCAGTTTTCTCCCGTCAGGGAGGCCGGGAGCCTGAGCCCCAGGTGTGGGCACAGCTGGTGACTTCTGTCCCAGGTCTCTCCCTGCCCCGGCTCCCGGAGGTGGCCGTGTCCTTGGCTCACACCTGCCTCTCCCCTGTCTCTGCCTCGGTGCTCACACGGCCCTCCCCCAGGGTGTCTGTTCCCTGGCTTCTGAGGACCCCAGTCCTTGGACTGGGAGCCCACCCCAAGTTAGCACAGGCTCCTCTCCGTTTGTCTCCATCGGGGAAGACCCTGCTTCCAAATAAGGTTGGCGGTCTTCCCTCTAGATGAGAGACCGAGGGGCCGGGCTGGGACAGTTAGCTGTCCTCTGGCTCACCCTCATTAGGTGAGGGTGGAGTTCTGGGGTGGGGATGGATGAGGAGGGAGAATCCGGAATCCAGACAGCTGCCCTGGGAAGGTCGGCAGGGTCAGATCTTGTTGTAACACTCTCTGAAGAAGGGGGAATGGAATTTTCTGGAATGGTAGAGACCTTTCTAAAATCTGAGGCCGGCAGAAGTGGAGCCAAGATGTAGGAGCCTGGGGCTGTGGGGTGCCGCTGAAATGGGAGGCTGTGTGGGCCATGTGGGACCCAGGCACCTCTGCTTCACATCCTGGCTCTGGCTCCCAAGGTCAAGGCTGCGGGCTGAGTCCCAGGATGGTGGGAGGTGGACCCTCGGGGACTGCTCCCCCAAGGCCACCCTGTGGGGCTGCTGGTGTGCAGAGAAGCAGGATGGAGGCTGGTGCTGGCCGGCCCGCCGTGCACAGGGTGGCCCTGAGGCGCCCGCAGCTGCAGGTGGCCTGGGGTGGCCTCAGGCAGCCGTCAATGCCCTCCTACGGGCCGGACCTGGGTGCCTCCTTCCGGCGTGGCCCCTTCCCAGCTCCTGCTTGGGGCTCTGCCTCTCTCTGCTCAGCTTCTGTGAGAGCTACTCCCATCCTGAGCAGGAACCCTCGGACCCAGGCTCCCCTGCCCCCTGTTCCCCGAGGAGCCCTCCCGCCTGCTCCCCTCTGACCTCAGGGCTGGGTATGACCACACTCTGGTCCCTCTGTGCTTGTCCACAGCCCCTCTTCTGGTCACCCCATGTCCCTGGCTCAGCCCTACCCCCCGCAGGTGGGGAAGAGGCCCCTCGTAAACCGCGAAGGCTCTGGCCGTCTTCCCCTGTGCACCGAGAGCCCGGGGTCTGACCCGGCACCGCCCGGGGCTCAGCCTTGCCCAGCGCTGGGCACCTTGGCAGCCACTCCCGGTCTCCGAATGAACCTGGCCTGGCGTTAAGAACCAGATGTGCCTGTCCTGACGCTGTCGAGCAGGGCCCGGCAGGGGCGGGGAGGGAAGGGGGCAGAGCTGGCCGGGGCCATGGGTGCTGGCCCCCTGACAGCCGGTGTGTCTCCACTGTCAGACGCAGATCTGGATCTGCTCCGTCGTGAAGGGAGCAGTTGGAGAATCAGCGCGGGGAAGGGTGGGTGGGGGAGAGCCAAAAGCAGCGGGAAGTGCCACCAGAGCTAGCGTCTCACAGTAAACGTTTCCCTTCTCCCTTCTTTTCTAGAACCATCTACTACACAGGCTACAGGCAGGTGTATGCCATGGAGGCACAGACGGTGTTCAGGTGCTGCCCTGGGTGGAGCCAGCAGCCTGGTGACCAGGGCTGCCTCTCCCGTGAGTGTCCCCCCCCCCAAACCTGTGCCCCAGAAGAGGCTGCGTCTAAAGGGATTGTCCCCAGTGTGGGCGGTGCAGACCCTCTTTCTGTACTTGGTGGCACTTCCCACAGTGCGAGAGCTCCCCACTCTGCCCCCACCCAGGCTGTTAAAACAGAACAATCCAGGAGCAGTGAGCCCCCAGGCTGATGTGGGTAGGGGGCAAGGGAAGAGGGATGGGGCTGTGGGGGGTCTGAGCGGAGGGTGGGGGGCTGTCAGCCAGGTCCTGGCATCTGGGCGGGGTCTGAGGCCAGCGCCGGGGCCACACGATGGTGTCTGTGGGCTCAGATGCCGCTTCAGGGCCCTGTCGTGGAGCCCGTCGCGAGCCCGCCTGCCCGCCATCGCCACCCCTGCTCTTGGGTCCCTTGGCCCTGAGTTCCCAGGAGGGCCTGGGGCTGGGCATTGGAGACAGACAGACAGCAGCTCCTGTCCTGCCTCCCGTCCTTGGGCCCTGGGCCTCAGTCTCCCCAGGTGCTTAGTGGAGGCTTGTCACTGCCTCCCTCAGAGAGGGGGTCCTGACCGATGCAGGGGGGATGGATGGGGAGCCAGTGGGTCAGCGCGCGCGAGCCTCACTCTGAAGCCTCTGCTTCGCGAAAGGAATGAGGCGCATAGCTGTGGAGTCCGGCAGTAGAGGTGTTTGGGCAGCTGTTCCTGGCCTGTGCGTGTGGGCACAGGAGGGCATGGGCACAGGTGGGGCGGCAGGTGGGTGTGGGCACAGGTGGGTGTGGGCACAGGAGGGAGTGGGCACAGGTGGGCCGGCAGGTGGGTGTGGGCACAGGTGGGTGTGGGCACAGGAGGGTGTGGGGACAGGTGGGCGGGCAGTTGGGGTGACTGGGTAACAGGAGGCTGCATCCCTTCCCCAGAGAGGGGGTCTCAGATCAGAGGTCAGGCCTCCCCTGAAACAACGCCGTGGCGCCCCCTGGTGTGAAGCAAGAGGCAGGGCCGCCCTGTGGGGGCGGCTGGGGGTCCCAGCTCCCCCGTGCTGGGACGGGAACCAGACTTCAGGGGCCGTGTTCCAGCCTGCCTCTCTGCCCCCCGGTCCCTCCGCACACAGGAAACGTGGAGCCGCTGACCAGGGGCAGAGACGTTTTTCCACGAACTCCAGTCGGAGAAGGGGAAGAGAAGGGCGGTGGGTACTGTTTTCTGGGAGAGGAAATGAATAATTCTCCCCAGGAAGGGAGCAGGAGGGAAGAGGAGAGGAAGCAGCCCCGCCTCCTCGTGGGCAAGAGAGCCTCGGGGGATGGGGGGGCACCTGGATGCTGGCCAGCGCCCCCCCCAGCAGCGGCCCTTCTCCCCACGCTCTCTGACCACGGTGATGTGTGCGTTCCCTGCTTCTGGCTTCTAGGAAAACAAAGGGGTGTGTTGAGTGGGGGGGCAGGGCAGACATCAAAGCCGAGGCCCCCGGTTTCCGCTGTGAGGCCGCCCTTCCAACCTGGTGGATGACGGGGGCGGGCAGAGGAGGCGCGGGGTGGGCTTGGGGAGCACAGCCTCTACACCTGGGAAGGGACGGGAATGCACACCCACATGGCGGTCAAGGGGCGTCCCTCTGGGCTTGGCTTCCTGGCTTGGGGGGAGTGGTGTGTACACCGTCACGGGCGAGGGAGGCGGGGAGCCCGGGCCCAGGCCAAGGTTTGTGCTGCAACGTTCTCACAGTCCACGCCCGTGGCGGGGGTCTCATCCTGGGTTTCAGCTGTGTCTCAGAGTGACCATCCCCGCGACAGGGCCACGGAGGAGCCGCGGGGCCCGAGGGCCGGCCAGACCCTGGGAGGCCAGGTTGGCCTCTCCCCATGGCAGGGACGGAGCCCAAATGCTGGCTTCACAGGGATGGGAGGCTGATTTCAGCACAGGCCCCCGGGGCCAAGGGCCACGACTGTCTCTCCTTCCCCCTCTGGCTCCGCCTGAGTGCCTGGCCTGTCATGCGGCTCTGTCTGCCGGTGGCCAGGAAGGACAAGGTGACTGCCTTGGGCTGGCCAGCTGGCAGGAGGGGGGATGCGGCCGTGGGGCAGGCGGCCTTGGCCTTGCCGAGGTGGAGGAGACGGGCGGTGGACAGGGCTGTGGCAGGAAGGACATGGGGGAGGGGGTCTTGGCCGCGGTGCCTGGCCTTGGTGGTCCAGGTTGTCACAGGGCCTCCATGTATCCTGGGCTGGAGGCTTTGACTTTCTCGGCCTTTTTTTTTTTTTTTAATGTTTATTTACTTTTGAGAGATAGAGAGAACACGAGCGGGGTTGGTGCAGCAGAGAAAGAGGGAGACACAGAATCTGAAGCAGCTCCAGGCTCTCAGCTGTCAGCACAGAGCCTGAGGTGGGACTCGAACCCGCACACCATGAGATCATGACCTGAGCCGAAGTTGGACGCCCAACCGACTGAGCCACCCAGGCACCCCTCAACTGTTTGTTTTTAAAAGATCCTTTTTCGTGCAGGATTTACTTATTTGTGTGTTTGGGTTTTCTCTGTTTATTTGAATGTTCTAGCAAAAGTCCTGTGGTCCGGCCCCCTTGGACACCCACTTGTTCCCTGGCGTCTGGGCCACCAGCATGGGAAGGGGCGGGAGGGACTGGGGGGGTCCAGTGGGGAGGATCCTGAGCCTGGGGCCCTGCCCCCTGTCGCTGGGCTCTGCCCACAGGGAGGTAAGGCCTGATGGGAGGCTGGCTGCTGGGGGACGCTGATGAGGTGGGGTGTGGGGGTGGGAGCTCAGAGCCAGCTGGGGCTCCGGGGTGCAGGTGGGCAGGAGGTGCTGGGGGTGGGGGGTGGGAGCGTTCAGGGAGCCGGTGGGGGCCCCGAGCAGGAGGAAGCGTAACGGATGGTGGGGGGCAGCGGAGGAAGGCGGGAGCACGCGTGGGAGCACCACCGTGGCTGGGGAGGGTGGGCTGAGCACCAGACTGCACTTCCTGCTGTGGCCTGTCTCAGGCTGAGCAGGCGCCCGGAGCCCCCAGCCCCCAGGAGGCCCTGCGCTGGGGGGTCAGGTGAGAGTCCGGGGTGGCTGCCCTTGGCCCCTCCCCGCGGGCTTGCTGTGGCGGCAGGGCTGGGGCGGGGCCTCTGGGCGCCCAAGTGCGAGCACCGAGCACCGACGGGGTGCCGGGCCCCCAGGGAGGGTCCTCTAACCTTGTCCTGTTCCTCACCCTCTGGCGTTCCTCTGGTCGCTTCCAGCACCTTCCCTCAGTCTCCGAGCAGGCTGTCTGCAGCCCGGGGGAGGGGAGGTGGTCAGGCTGGGACAGGGCAGCCCCGCCCGCCTCAGGACCCGGAAGTGCAGCTCCGTGCGGGTCGCCGCCAGGGACCCCGTGTTTGTGTGGGATCGAGGAGGGGCCTAATGCCGTGGGGGGGGGGGGGGATGGCAGGAGGCTCTAATGGCTGTTGTGATTGCTCCGTGACCCACTTAGTGGCATTTGTGACCTGGAGGCGACCAAAAAGTAAAAGTGCTGGCGGGGCGGCGTTGCCTGGTGACCAGGTGGCTTCCCTGGGTCTGCATGGTCCCCGTGCGCACATGCCCCCTGTGCTGTGGGTGCCACATTCGCGCCCAGCTCTCTCAGTGCCCCGATTTTGCCTAGACCCCCTGATGCCCTGGGTCCTGGCGCCCCCTCATCCAAGGCGGCCATGAGCGTGAAAAAGTGGGTGTCTGGCCTGACCCTGACATGGACGCACCCAGGAATGAGGTGCCAGGAGTAGGTTCTGTGGCTCCCTGATCTAACTCCCCGGTCCGTACAGGGCTGGGCTCCGGCCGGCTGAGGAGGCCACAGGATGGAGAGGCTGGGCGCCAGTGGGTGCTGGGAGCCTCACCAGCCACATGGAACGTGAAGGGGTTCTGCAGTCCGCGAAGCTCCGTGTAAAAGCACAGTTAAGCAGGTTCCATTGTTGCAGGACTTCTCAGAGCGTTTAACATGCTAACGTGCCCCGAGGATTCCTGAGACGGACTGTAGTATTTTCCAAGCCAAATCTTTCTTTAAAAAGAAAGGAAGAAACACAACGAAGTTGGAATGATAAACCAGGTCCATAAAGCAGGCTCTGAGAAGCACTGGACAGACGTCTGTGCGGGGCCGACGGGTGCCCTGCACTGCTCTCAGGCAGAGGCCCCTGGAACTGGTGTCCTGCATGGACACGCGGGCAAGCGGGCAAGCAAGGCTGTGGGGGCGGGTGAGATGGGCTCTGGAGACTGCGGGGGTGGGGAAGGGACCTCGGGCCGGTGGGGGGGGGCTGGGCAGGGCTTGAGACGGCTCAGATGTACTCTCTGGAGGCCAGGGGTCCTTCCGTGCTCCCCTAGCTTGTGGCCGCATCAGCCCCCTCCGGCCGTCCTCCCTGCCTGTGTCACCTCCTCCCTCAGCAGGGCCTGCCCTACCTTGGTCACACCTGCAAACAGACAGGGTCACTTTCTGAGGGGCCCCGGGACAGGGGCACGATCTGCTGTGGAGGGCGGATGGCCCTGGGGGATCAGGGAGCGCGGTGACAAGGGGTCGGATTCTGGGTGCGCGGACGGTGAGAACTGGGTCTGGAAGCTGTGGCCGTGGCTGGGGGCCCAGGACTTTGGAGCCCTCCAGACCGCCGTGTGTGCCCAGGGTGTGTGGGACAGCCGTGCCCGTGCCCCCGAGCACAGCCTCAGAGATGACCACAGCCTGGGGAGGACACCGAGAAGTGACCACCCGGAGCTTTCTCCACGGGTTTCCAGGCCCGTCTTGGTCACTCACGCCTTCTTGGTGCCCGGGGGAGGGGGGGATGCCAGGGGAGCTGGAAAAAACCTGTGGCCCGTGAGGGCATCGCATCAGTAGGGACTGACGGTTTGTTGTCACAGGGGCCGGGAGGGGCTGTGCGACTGGCCACGGGACGGAAGCCCAGGCTGCTGACTGCCTGGCAGGCTGGCCCTGTGGCTCTCCCTCTGGGACCCCGCCGCCTCCCCTGGGCCCCACTGGGGATGGGGGGGGTTTGGGGAAGGAGCGGCAGGAAGGCTGCCCGGAGACCCAGGGACAGCTGCCCTCTGCTTTCCGACCTTGCCGTTCACTTTTCCATTTCCGTTCTGGATGCATGTCAGCCCCTCGCCCCGCGTGGGAATTTGCAGAGCTGGCATCCTGGCCATCCTGCCCTCCGTGTGGATGTACACGGTCGCTGGGGTGGGCGTGCTGTTCTGCCGTGACCCCCACCCCAGCTCTCTCACACCCCGTCACGCCCGGGCCTGGATAGCACTGTGCCTGGCACACATTTGCACATGTGCAGACTTGTGCAGTGCGCCAGCATGCTGTCCACCCAGGTGAGCTGACCTGCCTCACTGCCTCACACACCTGTGCACACACATGCATGTGTACTCATGCTCACACATGCATGTGCACACAACCCCACATGTGCTGACAGGCTCACCTGCAGACACAGGCTCCCACACGTGTGCTCTCACACACACATGTGCTTGCACACACATGCTTATGCTCACATGCACACGTGTGCACCTCGTGCCTGCTCACCTGTGCGAATGCTGCACGCCCATGTGGGTATGCTTGCACCTGCAGTCACAGTCCCCGGCACTCATACTGACCACAGGCTCCTCCCCCTTCCTTCTAGCACAGGCCTTCGGGTGGGGGGTGGGGGGTGGGGGAGCATGGCCCTGGCCCCCAGGGCAGCATTGGCTTGGCCCTTCCTCCGGAGGGTGGAGCTGGAGTGACTCCCTCCCCGCAGTGAGGGTCTGGGACTGGTGGAGGTTGGGGTGGGGGCGTGTGGTCCTGGCCTCTAGCCTCCAGCCAGCAAGTCTGGGGACAGACCAGGGACAGAGAGACCGAGTGGGAGGGACCCCTCCCCTGCAGGCATGCTTTGCTGAGGTGGGCACTGTGGCTCCCACACCTGGCCGCTGACGGGCGCTCCAGCAGCACCTCGGGTGAGCTTTATGTCCCGCGCCTGGTGGCCTGGTCGATGAGCTGAAGACCGCCCTGAGCCACGGTGCTGATCCACCTGCCCTGTGGGGTGACCTGGGACCTGTGTCGTCCTCACTGTCACCCCCTCTGTCTGCGCTCTCCCCCACCCAGTGTTGTTCGAACCCCTGAGTGCCTCCAACGATGGCGGACAGAGGCGCTGTGTGCTGGGCCCAGCCCTGACTCCGCTGGGTGCTGGCCTCCATGGCCGGTTGCTGGAGAAGCAATGGGGGGCAGGCGTGGCCTCCTGGGGTTCCTCTGTGCTGGGTGTGCCCCGCAGTCCTGGGAGACTTTGCTGGGGAGCCCGGCTGCATCGCACAGACCCTCCCATGGCTGGCCTGGGGGGCTTTGGCCACGGTCAGGGCGCTGCTGGTTCTGGTGTCACTGTTATCGTTGCTAAGTCCGGAGCTGGGGACGAACTGTCATCGGATTGACAGGCTGCGTTTGGAGTGGCCTATCCGAGGTTTCCTTGAGCCTGGCCCACACTGGGAGTCCCCACACCCACCCCATGTCTCGGTGGTGGCCTGATCCCGGGTTACAACAGAGTCGCTGCGGCCCAGAGAGCCCCCTGGCAGGCTCTGACCTGAAGATGCTGAGAATTCAGCACTGAGCATGTGCAGGGTGCAGGGAGGGGCTGAGGTCGCCTGTCTGCTCAGGATGTGACCTCAGCCCCAGCCAGTGGACAGGCGTGCCGCCCCTCTGGGGACGCCGTTGGGGGGCTGGCGGAGGGATGGGGCTTCCCCGCTCCCGGCCCAGCCCTGCAGCAGAGGGAGGACAGGAGCCAGAAGCTTCCTCGAGGGAAGTGCAGCTGGAACGGCCCCCCGGACAGCAGGGTCACAGGCGGGGAACTGCGTCCCGGGGCTGAGATGGTCGCTCCAGCCTCGGCCTCAGGCTGCAGAATGCACGTGGGGTCAGCGGAGGGGTTCGGGGAGGGCTCATTCACAGCGCTGGCCTGGAGAAGGCCGACGATTGTGTCCCACACACAGTTGGTGACCTGGGCTCAGAGCCTGCGGGTGGGTGGCCTGGCAAGACCAGGAGACACTGGGCCAGTCTGGATCACACCTGTCCCGCCTGAGGCCACCCTACTGTCCGGCAGAGGAAGAGAGGAGGAGGGGCCGTAGGCCTGGCGGCCCTTCCGGGGGCGAGGCCTGCGCGCAGGAACCCCGCCCCGGCGGAGGGGCGGGGCCCGGCGGGGGGGCGGGGCCCGGCGGGGGGCGGGGCCGGCGGGGGGCGGGGCCCGGCGGGGGGGCGGGGCCCCGGCGCGGCTGTAGGCACCTGCCGCAGGCAGGCAGGCAGCTGCAGGTCCAGACCAGCGTAAGTGTTGCTTGCCTTCCGCCTGGAGAGAAAGTGGCGCTGAGATGCCGTGGAAGATGTCCACACGTACCGCCCTCACCTGCGCTCCCCGAACCTGTCATCCTGCAGACGCCCCTCTGGGCCCGACCAGCCTTTGGTTCTGAGGATGTGGACAGACCCTCCCTGTTTCACCCCAAAGCCTAGGCCGAGTCCGGGGGGCAACAGCTAGAACGCCCGGTGAACCGTCCCCGCACTTCCAGCCCGTACTCTGTGCACCAGGGCGGTGTTCCTCCTTCTCTGTCAGGTCGTGGGTGGGGAGACCTGTTCAGCCCCGGAAGCTGCCGCTGGTGGCGAGCGCCGCTTCAGGCTCAGCCAGTGGTGTGGAGGGGACCCTTGGTGGTGGGAAGGTGGCTGAGAACATTGTATTCGATGTGTGCAGATCGCAGAGCCTAACTGCAGTTTCAACCCACTGGTAAATATCAGACCAGGGCCTGGACACCTATGTACGTGACCCAAGCCGCCTCCCTTGTCCGCTAAGGGGTCTGGGCCGTGGCGACGTGTGCACAGTGGTTCCTGGGGGGCTTCTTCAGCCTCACGTGACTCCCCTGACTTGGCCCTCCCTCTGCCTGCTTGGTCCTCCGAGAACACAGCCGCCCGGAGGCAGCAGACCTGTGGGCACCGCGGGCCCAGGTCACCTCTGCCTGCCCTGGCATTTCTCTCTCTCTCAGGGGCACACGGTTCCTTCCAGGGCCCCTGAGGGTCCTGTGGACGCAGTCCCGGACCCACTGACAGCCTGAGGGGGCATCCCCAAGCAGAGCCCTTGCCACTGCCGTGGAATGTAGTAGGAATTCATAAAACTCATTAAAAAAACGAACTAATGTTGGGGGCACCTGGGTGACTCAGTCAGTTAAGCGTCTGACTTCAGCTCAGGTCATGATCTCACAGTTTGTGAGTTTGAGCCCCACAATGGGCTCTGTGCTGATAGCTCGGAGCCTGGAGCCTGCTCTGGATTCTGTGTCTCCCTCTCTCTCTGCCCCTCCCCCACTCACTCACTCACTCGCGTGCACACCCTCTTTCTCTCTCTCAAAAATAAAATAAAACATTAAAACAATTTTTAATGAACTAATGTTAAGTATTAGAAACACACGTGTTTCTTGGAAATATCTAAGTCGTTTTGCAAGGCGTCTATCCAGCCTTCATCAACAGCCATGCATCTGGTTTTCACATTTTTTGTTTCCATGTCTCTTACTTGGTCCTTCTTCCTATCTACCTGCTCTTTTACACACACAGAGCCTCCCTTTTCCTGGTGGGGGCTGTCACACATGCTAATTTGAAAGCCAGGCTCTGGCTCCTGAGCTCTGTCTGCCCGGGGGGCGGGCGGTACTCCTTCAATGTCTCCTTGTGCAACCTCCTCCCTCCCCAGCTGCCGGTGGGGGAGGGGGTTTCCTTGGGGTGCCTGTCCCCTTGGACAGAAGCTGGTCCTCAGGCAAGCCTGCAGCCTCCCTTTCAGCAGGGGGCTGGCCCTGACTCCTTCCCCACCTCCTCCAGAAAATGTGGGGGGAGGTTGCAGGCTCTGGTGGGGGGGGCCAGTGCGTGACCTGAGACAGAACAGAGCTGGACCCTGATATGGTGGAAGGGTCGGGGCTGCCGGCCTGGGAGACCCCCCTCCCCCGACCAAGGTTCAAGGGTTCTTGGTACAAGAGGTAGTCTGGGCTTTGCTGTGTGTGGTGAGCACCTGGGTCCTGTCCAGCCCCAGGACTGGCCTTGTGGGGAGACTTTGGGGACGGTCCTCAGGGACGCTGTGTCCTGGCGGGTGGGCTGGGGCTGCCTCCGGGCTGTTGGCCCTCCTCACTCGCCTTCTCTCCTCCCCCCACAGCCCGGTGCAGCGCTGGCTTCTGCTTCAACGGCGGCCACTGCGCGCCTGGCTCAGCCCAGCCGTGCCGCTGTCCCCGAGGCTTCCAGGGTGCCCGCTGCCAGTACGGTGAGTGGATGGACGAGGGTACTCGCACCCGCTCCCTACGGCTCATCTGAGGTTGCTGGGAGGAGGGGCACCCTGAAAGCCCCTTCCTCCACTGATGCCTCCACACCCCTTCATCTCAGCGCCTGCCCAGCCGTGGCCTCCCCGGAGAGATGGGCTAGGACCGGCCGGCTTACTGGGCGGCTGGGAAGCGGGCCGTCCCGTTTCTGCCTTGCTGGAGGCTCTCGCGTCCTGAAAGATGGGGGACACGCAGGGTTCTGTCGGAGGCGACTGGTTCAGCAAAATTGGGCACAGCTGTAAGGTGGGGCGTCACGGAAACCCAGCCGCGCTACAGGCCGTTAAATAGCAGAAACTCAACCGAGCGAAACTTAGAGATCTGATTGGCTTTAGGAATCGATTCATGCATCAGGCAGAATCCCGTCTAACACGGGTGGGGAGCTCCCAGGGGCTACGGAAAGGAAAGTTTTCTAAAGGGAGAGAAAGAGCAGGAAAAAGGAAATTATCAGCCAAGAACCTTTGCTGTGGGCAAGGGGGCCTCCTAAGGGGAGTGGAATCTACCAGAACCTTCCATGGTGCTCACCATGATTCCTGCCCTGACCGCTTACAGGCGATGTCCCCGGGGCTTTGAGCTGCAGTCAGGTTGGGTCTTGGGTCTGGGTCGTGACCTAAGTGGTGCCATTTTGGGGGCCTGCGGTTTTCTTCATAACGACGTGGCAATAGGAAAGCGTTGGCGGGGTGCTGGGGGGGCTCAGGCTCGGAGCAGGTGTGTGGGTTTTGGAGTTTTTATAAAGAAAGTGAGCACAGTGCATGGAAACACATCACGAGAATGCCACAGACATTCGTCCTCATTTCTCTGTGCCGGGACAGCAAGAGCACCCCCTGGGGTTTCCTGCTCGATCCGGGGTTTCTTCATTGAACCTGTAGCTTTCCGGGTCCTGTCAGAACCCGGCGCAGAGCCACAGCCGCGGGGGGAAGTGAAATACTCCCAGACGGCTTCTGGCACTTTGAACTTGCTCCTGGTGAGTGGCTGGTGGGGGATCTTCCGGGTGGGGCCAGGGCGTGCGTCCTGCACCACGCTCCAATGCCTCGGATGCCCAGCAGGCAACAGGGGCCGGGGGGGCATCAGGGAATTGTGGGGAGCAGGAGGTTCCCCGTTTGTAGAGGGGACCCCGCCCTCTCTCTGGTCTCCGTGTGTTTACGTGTGGTGCCCCCCGAGCATGGGCTGAGGGTAGGCGTCCTGGGGAGGGCCTGGGTCCCAGAGTTCTGAGACAGGTGCCGGTAGCTGGGGGTGCCGACCATTGGACAAGCTGGCGGGTTGGGTAGCTCTGGTTGCTTATCCGATGCCCTTTGTTAGGTGGAAGGTTCTCTGCTGAGCCAGCCTCGATCCCCTTGCTCCATGGGCTCTGTGTGCTGGGGGCCTGCCCCATGCCCCATGCCCTGTGCCCTCTAGGACCCCGAGCCCCTCTGTGGGCTGTGACCCCCCACCCCCAGGCAGGCTGGGGTCCAGGCTGGGTCTAAGTGGGGACAGAGGGGGCCCAGCTGTCATGCCTTCTTGGTCTGGTCAGTATTTATGGCCACGGGTGGAGGTGGGGAGATGCTTCGAGGACCGTCTGTCTCACGCAGCCAACCTTACGGAACCACGTGCCACTTGATGTGGCTTTGCTTAGGCTCGGCCAAGAGCACAGCCTGGCCCTGGAGGCGAGCTGCCTTCGGGGCCGTTGCTGGGATAGGCTTGCTGCCCACCGAGTCGGCAGCACGGATGCTGTGTGGTCCCTGCCGCGGGGGGAGGGCAGGGAGGGGACGCTGGAGTGTGGCCTGTCTTTGGTCACGTCCTCCAGGAAGCAGCGGGGGACACCTGCCCTTGCCCCTCGGGGCCGGCCTTCCTCCCCTGCCCTGCTTCCTGCCAGCCATCAGCCGCCCCCCGCTCCTGGCCTGACTGCCCCAGTGGCCAGCTCCTGGTCTCACGGGCTGGTGCTCCCTTGCATGAGCAGCTCCCCCCGCCAGAAACCCTGACACTTGGCCAGGGGGTGGGGGATGTGAGGGCCGCAGAGGCACAGTGGGGAGGGAGCTAGGCTAGTGGGGGGCTCGGCACGGGAGGAGCTCAGCGTCAGCAAGGGCCCTGCGTCCGTGGGAGGGGGCCCGTCTGGCCACCCCTGCTCACTGGGCTCAGACCCACACGCGGGGTCTCTAGGGAGGGGGAGCAGTGCTCACACGCTCCGTCCTCTGGCTTCTGGGCCTGGGCTCCAGGCTTGGCTTTGCCTGCAGAGCAGCCCCCACTCCCTGCGGTCATGTGGGGGGGCCTCTCTGGGCCCGGAGGCCTGCGCATCTCACTGAACCCTCGGTTTATCCTCTTTGTGGAAGAGGAAACCGGGATCTGGGAGGGCAGGTAGCTGCTCACCTCTTGGCAGAGCTGGGGCGATGAGCGCCTGGAACCTTCCACCGTCTCCCAGCACAGCCCCAGGCTTCAGTGGGGCCCCGCCAAGACGTGCTTTGGAGAGAGAGGGGCAGATCCCCAATTCCCCACCCTGCTCTGACTCTGGAGACCCGGGCCTGTGACCAGCCTCCCTCCTCTGGGGTAGGTGGGCTTTCTGGGTGTGGCTGGTCAGGGGTGGGACAGATGTGGCCTTCAGGAAGCAGTCGATCCAGCTGGAGGGCAGCTGCTCGGCTTCCTCTGGGGCGCTGTCTCCTGGAAGAGAGGCTGGGTGTGCAGAGCCCACTGTGCAGGGCAGATGTGCAAGGCTGGGTATGCACAGGTGGGTATGCAAGGCTGGGTGTGCAGGGCTGGGTGTGCAAAGGTGGGTGTGAAGGGCTAGACATGCAGGGCTGGGTATGCGCGGGTGGGTATAAAGGGCCGGGTGTGCAGGGCCGGGTGGAAGGGCTGGGTGTGCAGGGCCGGGTGTGCAGGGCCGGGTGGAAGGGCTGGGCTGCCTGCAGGGACAGCCCTATCCGTGCTTCTGCCCCAACCCCCCCCCCACCTTCCGTCCCTCCTCCGTGGCGAGGGGGCAGACCTGAGCACAGTTGGCAATATTTAACCCACCCCCCGGTTATAATTGATTCCAGTTTTGAAAATAAAAGCCATATTTTTCCTGGTTCCCCCAAATTCTTTCATTTGAACGAAGGGGGGGGAGGAAGGGACCCAGCTGTGTGAATGGTGGAGAGCGGAGGGGGTGGGGCCTTAGGAAGAGCCCCCCCGCCTGCCCCTTCCCCCCGCCCCCCCCCCGGGGTGTGGACCGCTGCCCCAGTGGCTGAGCCCCTTCGTTCCACCTCCCCCCGCCCCCATCCCCCCTCCGGAAGGTGGAAGGCCTTCTGCGGGGGCCAGGGAACACAAAGGGGGCCTGTGCTGGCAGAGCCCAGGGTGTGGGGCACAGCGGGGGGGGGGGCCTGGGCCCTGGGTGCCTGAAGCAGAGCCCCCCCCAGGCCCCGGCCCTCCCCGGCCAGGGCCAGCTCCGTGTCCGGTAGGTGAGCCAGCGCGACCGTGGACGACACCCTGGGCCTAGTCGCTCCTTCGTTAGCTGGGGATCAGACAGTGTTTCGTGCGAGGCCCAGGTGCCGGCATGGGTGGGGCGCAGGGCGCCGGGTGGAAGGGCCTGGTGGTGGTGGCTGCGCTCTCCCTCCCCGGAGGCCCGGTCCACTGGGCATGACCGGGTGGCCGGGGACTGTCCCTTGTTCCCGGGGTGGCTGCATGCAGAGCGTGCCGGAGCGTCCAGAGGGTGCTGCCCACGTGCGGGCCCTGCCGCCGGTGGCCTGGGGTGGTGCGGGTGAGCGCCGTGTCAGAAGGGGAGGCCAGTACCCCAGGGACTCGCTGTCCCTTGTTGGGCCCTGGGGGTCCTGTCAGACCCACCAAGAGTGGTCGTCACGAGCAGAAAACACCTCTGCCCCACCTCCACGCCCGGCTCACAGGTGCGAGCTCCTGAGCGAGCCAGGACCTGCTGGTGACACGAGTGTGTCCTGGCCGCTGGCACGGGGTCTTCAAGGAAGGAACAGGCAAGAAGCACATACACTCAGGGACACGCTATCTCTCAATGTAGCTTGTGCTGTGTTAACTGGGCATCGTCACAGAGCCACTGGCCATTGCTTGGCTTGATCTCACGTGACCTTGCGGGACAGAAGCAGACAGAGAACTCAGGCCTGAATTTCTCTCGGTACCTTCTGAGTCCAAGAAGCTTTGGCTTCGGTTCCCTTCTGGGCCTCAGTTTCCTCGCCTGTAAAATGGGTGGGTTGGGCAGGTCCCTGAGGCACTTCTGGAACTCTGGCTCTCAGGTCCAGCTGAGCTATCAGGGCATCAGCACCAATGCCCAGCAGAGAGCCGGGTGGCCTGGAGGGCTTCCTGGGGGAAGCGGGCCTGTGGGCCGGGGAGGGTTTGGGGAGGTGCAGGTTGTTGGGGGTGGGCTTTCCAGATGGAAGATAGGCTGGAGCAGAGCCGCCGAGAGGGGATGGTGAGCCAGCTTGGCCTGGAGGGCATGGTGGGGACAGCAGGAAGGTCAGCCTGGGGTCCCCAGGGCCCTTAGCCTCCCTCTCCGAGCTGGTGACCTGCTGCCCCGGGGCCGGCCTGGCAGGTGCCCCTGGGGACCCAGTGTGATCCGCTCCACCCCCACGCCAGCCCAGCGGGAGAGAAGTCAGGGTCCTGCCTGGAGCCTTTGCGCCTTGACGTCTGCCTTTGGAGCAGGAAGCCAGCGGGAGGGGGCCCTGGAGGCGGCTGTGCAGGGAAGCAGAGCAGCAGGAACGGGCCGCTGCCCCTGGGGGGGGGGGGCAGGAGGGAGGCCTCAAGGGCGACTCTGTTTCTAAATTGGGAGGACTGATCAATGGAGAGGAAGCAGCCCCCCCAGGCCGCCCTTCAGTGCCGCCCACTGTGTCCGAGGGTGGGAGACTGACCCCTGGCCCGAGGTCCAGACGCCACCACGGGCTGCTCCTGGCCAGCCGCTGTGCCCAGGCCTGGGAGCTGCCTCTGCTCCGCCCTCATCCAGGGCCTGGCGCTGCCCGCCTCGGAGGGGCTGGGGCCCCTGGCACCGGGACGTCTCCTTTCGGAGGGCACGGCCCGCAGAGGCCAGGTTCC